GGGGGTGGGGTCCCCGCCGGGCGCCCTCGGGGGATGCGCGGGCGCGCCCCAGCGCTCGCGGCGCGCCATCCCGGAAGGCTGGGAGGCGGGACCGACCGGGGACCCGGAGGGCGTGGTCCAAAGAAAAGTAAAGTTAAAAAATAAACCTGGAGTTCGAAGCGGATAGGGCGCCCCGCAGACCGCGCGGTGCCCGCGAGTCCCGGCGGGCGGGCCCCGGGTCTTGGCGGATAACCGCCCCCCCTCCCCACCGCGGACCACTTCGGCTTCCAGCCCTCGCCTGTGGGGCTGGGGTGATGCCAGATGCGCACGGTGCGGGAGGCGCGGGGCTTCGCGGGACCTCCCCGTGCGTTTCTTGGCCGCATCCGAAAAATCTATAATCATCCCTAAAGAATTGTTTTTAAAAGTAAGGCAGAGAACAGCCAGATGCAGTTGCATGCAACTTTGATGGGCCGCTGGTTGGGACACACCAGGGACAATTTTGGAGAAGAAACACAGAACGTTCAGATACGTTTAAATTTCAAACACACAACGATAGTTTTTGTTTTTCCTAGGGCATATCTGATTATAGTGACACCAAAAAAGTGTCAAATGTATCTAGACGTCCTGTATTTTATCTGCTCACCTCTTCCCGGGGAGAATCTGGTCACATGCAGCTTGGACCTCGCAGGCCCGGCCAGGAGAGCCTGGAAGCTGCTTTCCTGAACGATCCCGAGTACTATCCGTGCTGCCGGTCCGCGGACCAGAGTTTGAGAAGCGAGAGGGCACAGTGCCTACCCCCCTGTTCGGCGGGATTCCAGCTACTCCGCCTTTGGAAGGGGGTGTCCGGCCTCTGAGTCGGCGGGGCGGGGCGGGGTGGGGGGCGCATTCTGTCGCAGAGGTCAGGCCGCGTGAGGTCAACTTCAGCACAGACGCGTTTTACGGAGACCAGGCCCGGCCTGCCTCGCTTGGCTAACTGGGAGGGGCGGGGTGGGGGGAGGAACAGGAAATCAGAACTGGCTCTGGGTGTAGTTTTCTGGCCCCGGGCTGCCAGCTTTGCCCCAGCTCTCCTCCGCACAAGGTGGGTGGCTTTCCTCCACACTCCCCCCTCCCCAACCCCTCGGGCCTGACGCCTGCTCTCTGCCGGCTGCCAGATCTTGAGCTGGAATGCCAAAAATGCGCTCCAGGAGCGGACGGCGTCGCCTGAGCGCCTGGGAAGAGCAAGGACTGGTCCCCCGCGCGCAGGCCACCGGGCCCGGCCCCGCCGAGGGCCTCGGGGCGACCGAGGCGGTCCGCGCGGGGCCCGTGCGCGCCTCCCCGCGGAGCGCGCGCCCTCTCCGCGCGGAGTCAGCCAGGTGACCGCGGTCCTGCTGGCTCATTGAGGGCCGCGGGTCGAGGCTCCGGTTTCACACCCAATGAAAGGCATGCCTGTCCCTCCTCAGGGCAGCCAGAGAAGGAAAAAGAAAAAAAAAAAAAGAGAAACAGAAACTTTCGGAGGTAAACTCGGGGTTTCAGGGTTGATCTGACCCTTCCTCTGCCGCCCTGAGCGTGCGCACAGACCTACCTGTTCCTATAAATATCCTGGGAGGGATTCGCAACACCTTGCAGAACAAAAGCAGCTTTCATCTGGGACGACCGTAAAAATTCTTCGGAAAACCACAGCGTATGACTTGAAAGGCAAAAAAAGAGGAAAAAAATCCCTGCAAGCGAGGCATGATGGAGTGATCACCGTCTTTAAGATGCGCATTTGGTTGTGGTGGGGCGGTGGGGGGGAAGGGTACTGAACTCTGTTATGCGGAAAGAGTAATTTCTGCCTGGACCTCGAATGGGCTATAAATTCAAGGCCCCAGCAGGGGTAGTGGTGTTAATAGGGCAGCGGTAAAAATGGTGGTCCGTGAAGACAGCTGGACACTTCTTTTAAAATATGTATGCATAGTGGGGCAGGGTATAGCTCAGCGCTAGAAAGCCTGCCTGGCATGCACAAGGTCCTGGGTTCATTCCCTGGTGCCCCCATTAAAAATAAATAAGCTTAATTACCCCCTGCCAAAACAAACATACAAAATACGTATGTATAAAATTGTAAATGTGTATGTGTATGTAGGAGGTGTGTATCTATTCTGAGTTAAAATAAACAATAATACGTTTATAATAACTGAGGAACACATACTCACATTATACCACTGCCAATAAACTAGGAAGACGCATTCTTTCAAAATGATTATGTTCAGAAAAATCAGTGTCTGTCTGTAGGTCTGTTTAGGCAGGATTTTGCTATGTACTCCACAAGGTAAATAATATAAAGCTGGAAATTGAAAGTAGCTGAAAATTTTATTTTTTATTAATAAAGTCATTGACTCTTACGTTAAAAAATAAATCAATAAATGTGTTCCAACTGCTAGAAATAAATGAAAAATAAACAATACGTTGTTTTTACAATCTTTACAATTTATATGTATGTAAATTATACATATTACATGCCAGTATATTCTAATGTACTACTGTATTTTAAAATAAGTGTTTTCCTGCCTTCACAGGCTTTACAATGTGTATATATACATAACTACTAAATATTATAGATCTAATCTATTCTGTGGTGTATATTCTAATATGTTTTATTATATTTTCTAATACATATATTTCAAGGGAAATGTTCAGCTGCCTTCAGACTTTATATATAATATTAGGTATTATTTATATCACATACATTCTAATCTGTTCTGTGATATATATATTATAATATGTTTTATTGCATATCCTAATATATGTATATATATATTCCAAAAGAAATATTCGGCTGCCTCAGACTCTACAATTTATATATAATATTAGATATGACATGCTCTATGATTGATTCTGTTCTAACGCGTCCTGGAATATATGTTCTAACATGTTCTATTATATGCTCTATTTCAGAGATGAGTTTAGGCACAGGAACACGGTTTCCGGTTTCAGTGGCTGGATGTTACCCTCATTCAGCGGAGGCCAGTCGCGCAGCGGGAGCAGCCCGGGTCACTCCCTGTGCTCCGTCACCTCGTCCCCATTTCTCAGGTAAGCTGTTGCAAAGCCACTTCTGGGCGCCAGGCTATCTTCCTTCGTCACCAGTGAACGTTTTCCCGGCGAGGAGTGATTCAAGGATCTGTAAGTGCTCACCGTTGTTAGTAGCTTTGGCATCCTGTTTCTTACTTCTCCCTGGTCGCGGACAGCCCTGTGCTGGGTGTGCGTTGGTTCAGTGCGTTAGGAGTTCGTGATAACCCAGTTAGTTGGCTGTGTTCTGTTACAATCCTGCGCACTTACACCTCCACGGATGGAACCAGGTCCATCAAGATTGATCAAAGGTGGTGAAAGTTATTTTACAGTTGTGATGAGGACCCCCACAGTAATCCGAGGCTTGCACAGCTGCATCCCCGTGTCTGCAAGCATCCCCAGGGCTGTGTTTTGGCTCTTGGCTCTCGAGAGCTATGTCATGCAAAGCGGACGCCCCCCACCCCCGCACACTTCACTTGCTGAACAGGTGTTGGACCCAACATACGTGTTGATGCTCCTTGAAGCTGACCCGGCGGTGCCGTCTCTGCTGACAGAAAGGACGTTTTCACCACGGGGGTATCACACACAGTGCCCTGGCTGGGAAGGTCGTGAATTCCCAAATGGGCTTAGAGCCATGAATGCAACCCTCAGCCACCTTCCCTAGAAATTGAAGTTTCCTACCTATGTCGGGTTAAAAACTGCTTAAGACATTCACCTCAGATGCTGTTAAAAAGAAGTACAAGAGACACGACCATGAAGGAAAACTCAAATTTCAGGAGGATTTGATTTAAAGAGAGGAAAAATACATAACAACACAGGGAAGATAGCCAGCCTTTTATAATAACTCTCAATGGAAAGTCACAACATTTAAAAATTGTATAATCTTTTTTTAGTTTTTGATAAAAATAAGATAATTTTTTAAAAATAAGAGGGGGGAAAAATGAAACATCAAACAAGGCTAGAAGAAAGTACTGCAGAAGGTTTGCAAATCCCTGGCTGATCATAGGAGGACATTCTAAAGCGGAGAGAGGCAGAGTCATAGGATGAACGGGTGACCAGAGCTGCCGACCGAAAAATGTAAGAACGTTAATGGAGTTATAATCAAAATAGAAACGCATCTACAGCAAGCAAGCAGAGCGCATCAGAAAAGGGCACAGCCATGGGGAATTCACACAGGGAGAAAAAAAAATCTTTCTGCTAACTAATAATCAAAGAAATGGGACTGAGACCAAATGTGACAGATTTTTGTTTTTTTTGTTTTTTTTTTCAAATCAGCCTGACAGCATAAAGATGAAATGTCCCATGCTGATGAGAGCATTGTACTGTTACGGTGTTAGAAACAATCAAATACGTTGGTCCAGTAATTTTTTATCTTGAAATTTATTTTTCAGAATTGAGTTTTGGGGACTATTGAATGCTTCATGGGCAAAATTACCTGGGGTCATGGGATGAAATGTGCTTCCCCGCCTCGCACAAATTTCAAATGTTGACGTCCCAACTCCCAGGACCTCAGAATGGGGCTGTGTTTGGAGATGAAGGTAAAATGAGGTCACTAGGTGGGTCCTGATCCCATAGGACTGGGGTTCTTATAAGAAGAGGAGATGAGGACCCAGAGACACGCAGAGGGACGCCCACGTGAGGACACAGGGAGGAGACGGCCGTCCGCGCACCAAGGAGACACCAGCCCTGCTCACAGTTGGTCTCAGATGCCAGCCTCCGGGACCAGGAGGGACAAATGTCTGTTGTACAAGCCCGCCAGTCCGTGACACTCTGTTGTAATGACCCTATCGGACAATTACACCCGTGAGTCAAGGCAGCTTTTATCACAGAGAAATCCATAGAGATAACTTTCAACATCTGAAACATCGGGGAATGTATACTTCTAAGCAGGTCTGTTCATGGAAGGGAATTTTCAAACTTTTCATAAATAGTCAACGAAATGGGAGCATTGTGCCTAAATTTTAAGGATTATAAGCAGTCATCCAAATTTTATAACACACTCTGGTCTTCATTATATAACAAGATGACATTCCCCAAAAGGGAGTAAAATGTCCCCAAAAGGTGACATCTGGATTAGGACATTCTTTCCTATTTTTTTTTTTCCCAACGTTCCACAGACGTTCCTGTAATGAGGACACAGACTTCAGAGCACGCCCTGAAAGATTTTGCAGGAGACACAGATTGAGAGATTTGGAAACCTGGTGGGGTTTTTTTGTTTTGCTTTCTTTTTGTTTGTTTGTTTCTTTTCATAAAGTGATGGATTAGGTTAGAATTATCTTAGACCTTGCTGAGGTCTGAGTTTATCTTAACTCCCTGGAGGGAAGTATGAAAACACTTAGTAATTCCTACCCGAGAAATACAGATTGTTGTAGTCAGTCACCAGTCCTTAATCAGTCCAAGGAGGAAGTTTGAAAACAGAAAGAAGATGTGACGAAATGAGAAACACAGCCCCTGACCTTGGAGGACCGCGGCTGCGGCGGTAATTCCTCCTTCACGGGTGACAAAGGCACCCTTGTCCCCCTCCGAGGCGTGTGTGGGGATCTGGCAAAGCGAAGCCACCGTGGATCTGGAAGAACCCATGTAGAGACGAGACTCAGAAACTCTGAAAGTCTCGGGATGAGGTGGCCACTAGGTTGTCTCATGATAAAGCCAGGGTTTTTTGTTTGTTTGTTTTTTTAAAGTTGTTTGGTGCTGGCGAGGAAAGCAGGAGATTGAAACAATATGACAAGATGTGTCTGTCTGTGTATGGGTGACTGGGACACTGTGCTGTGCGCTGGGAACGGGCACAATGTAACTGACTGTACTTCAATAAAAAGACTAAATACGTATATGTAAAATAGATAAACGAGGTCCTAATATATAGCACGGAAAACTATATCCAATATCCTTTAACAACCTCTAACAATGCAGCACCCCACGGAGCCTAGTTTGGTGGCCACAGGCATGCCCCACCCTACAGGGGGTGCAGACTTTACAGGGGATCATCGGCAAGGGACTGTGGAAATCCTCCCGCTTTCCAGCTCCCGCTGCAGGGGCTTTGGGACTGGTACCCAGGTGCGTGAAGGTGTTGGGGGAAAACGGTCCATTCCAGCAGACTTTGAAATTGCAAGTCTGCCCGCCAAGGGGGTGCTGATGGAGTCCCCTCCCCCGGCCCCGAGTGCCAGGCATCCGACATAGGGGTATTTGGATAAAGCAGAGAAAACCTGGGACTCGTGGGCTCAGATTGCATGGAGGAGGGATGGACAACCGGCACTCAGAATTGTTAAGAGGATGTAACGTACTGGGCACTAAACGAGGAGTAACAACGTGGGAGGACCAGGCGGGAGAGCGTACCACAGCGTGTGGTCATTGCCCATGTTCATAATTACATAGTCCCATGTCTGTAAGTATATATTAGCAGTTTATGTCACAGAATATATACATGAGTTTATCTCTATGATTATATAGGTCTATACACATATCTGTATGTACATGTATCAGGTCTCCCAGGAGGGGTGGAATTTAAGTAGATGCAGGGAAGGCGTGACCTTCAGGTGTGTGGGGAGGTGGCGGGGACGGCGTGGCTGGCGTGGCTGGGGGGTGCAGCAGGGCTAGGGTGCGGTCCGGGAGGACCTCGAAAGGATTTTGCTTCTTACTCCAGGTTGGGTCGCCAGACTGAGTAGATAAAAAAGCAGGACACCCAGTTAAATTTGAATTTCGGACAAACAACAAACTATTGTTTTAGTGTAAGGATGCCCCGTGCAATATTTGGGATGTACTTAGACTGAGCACTGAGCTGAATTTGAATTTTAGTGTGAGCATATTCCATGCAATCTTTCGGTTTACTTATACTCAACGCCTGGATGAATTGTAATCTCAGATAAACAGTAAACGATTGTTTTTGTAAAAGTATGTCCATAAAATATGTGGGACTTACAGGAAATGCTCAGCTGAATGAGAATTTCAGATAAACACGGAATCATTATTTTATTCTAAATATGTCCCATCCAATCTTTGGGGCATAGTAACACTAAATGCTGAGTTGAATTTGAATTTCAGACAAACCATGAATATTTTTTTTTTTTTAGTGTAAGTCAGTCCCATTCAATATTTGAGACCTGCTTAGTCTAAAAAGTCGTTTGCGATTGATCTGAAATTCCCATTCAGCCAGCTTCCTTCGTCATTTTATTTGGCAGCCCTAACTCTGAGCAAAATGCAGAGTTACCGTCGAATTTCGATTTTAAAAGGGCTCCTCTGACTGCTGAGTTGAGAATAAGCTTCGAGGACCTACAGCAGTGGTTAGAACCAGCTTTAGAAAACTCTGCGTGTAGCCGGGCTTCACCACAGACCAACTGAATCTAGTCTCGAGGAATGGGGACCCAGGCATAGGTATTTCTGTCATTGCCTCAGGGGACTGTGGTGCATGTTGACAGCTGAGATTCCCAGCGGAAGGCTGCTGGAGTCATGCAGAGAGACATGATGGGGGTGTCATGAATTAATAAAGGCTGGGGCAGTGAAGCTGTGACACGATGCGAGACTGTCATGGTGAGTATATGACGTGGAACCTTCCTCTAAACCCACAGAATGTACGGCACCAGGAGCGGACCATCATGTAGACCAAAGAGTGTGGGTCATGATGATGTGTCAATATTGAGTCACTCGTTGTGATAAATGCAGGATGTTAATCATGGGGAAGCTGGGTGCCGAGCTAGAAAGGGTACATCAGAACCATGTGTACGTTCTGTTGATTTTTACTGTTAACTCTGCTCTAAGGAATAGTCCACTTAAAAAAATAAAAAGAGTGAAGTAAAATCATGTGCAGCAACATGGATGGACCTAGAGATGATCATACTAAGTGAAGTCAGTCAGACAGAGAAAGAGAAATATCACACGGCATCACTTATATGTGGAATCTAAAAAAATGGCACAAATGAACTTATTTACAAAACAGAAAGAGACTCACAGACATAGGAAACAAACTTACGGCTACCGAAAGCGGAAGGGAGGGGAAGGGATAAATTAGGAGTTTGGGATGAGCAGATACACACTACTGTACATAAAACAGATAAACAACAAGGTCCTGCTGTAGAGCACACGGAACCCCAGTATCTTTTAATAACCTATAATGGAAAATAGTATGAAAAAATAATATATAATTGGATCACTTTGTTGCACACTTGAAACTGACAGTGTTGTAAATCAGCTCTACTTCAGCAAAAGAAATAAATGGATGCATAACTTTACAACCGTTTGAAGAAGTAAACAAGGATACCTCTGCATATAATTGTTGGAAAAAATCTCCGGGTAATATTGATAAGGGACAACTTAGAGTGTAAGGTCTGTTTGTGTCATGTCAAAGCATAGGTGATTCTGAAGTCGTTGAGTTTCAGCTTATATTACTATCTGTTTAATACAATAATAGTAATGGGTTAATAGACTTACAATAAAGGGCAACCACAAGCCAAAAACTGACAGTTGAGTCACAGAAACTAAATAAAATCCAAGATAAGACAAAGGAAGGTTATCAAACCACAAAAGGAAGAAGAAAGCAGCGAAGAGGAAATACAAATCAACTGCAAAAGCTAAGTTCAAAATGGCAGTAAGCACACATTTGTCATTAATTACTGTATATGTCAATGGACTAAATGCTCCAATCAAAAGACACAGAGTGGCAGACTGGATAATGAAGCAAGGACCTTCAATATGCTGCATACAGGAGACCCGCTTTAGGGAGAAGGACACATACAGATTGAGAGTGAGAGGATGGAAAAAAGGATATTCCATGCAAGTGGAAAAGCCAAGAAAGCAGGTGTAGCAGCACTGATTCTGAAGTCGTTGAAAATCCTGAGTGGGTCCGCAAAGCAAGGCTTTCCTATAAAGAGGGGCATTGATTCGGGGCCGTGGCGGGCGTTACCCAGGGCAGATGAAACGTTCACTCTTTTCAGCTCATCCTCTTCTATTCAGTTTATGTTTCCTCCCAGGAGATGCTGTGTTATCATAATTTTTTAAAATAAAGGAATCATGAGAGCTGCCAGGTTCTGAAGGTACGTGCGGTCCAGTTTCCAGCCGTGTCCAAGGGTCATAAAGTCCATGAGGTCCCAGCATGGTGATGAAACAGGAGAAATACCATTGTCATCGGCAAAACAGGTCGAAGAGTATTCTTTCCGGACAACTGGTGCAGTCATACTTTGTTTTATATAGACAGAGAGATAATAACAGTATTATTAATGCCCAACAGAGATGATGGACTGTCTTAGTTTAAAAAAGGGGGGGGAGGGGAGACTACAAACTACATGTAGACACATAATTAGGACCATTTTTGTTGTTCCTACAGTTCAGTCTGTATCCGTGAAGAGGATGGAGGCAAAAATAAAACAGGACCAAAAAGACACCTAAAATAAAGACATGGTAGGAAACCATATACTCTGTATTCAGTGGAGTTAGAGATTTCCCACTTTAATTTTTTTTTATGGTTTCTTGGGTATAATTAGACCAACCCACGTGAGCCCCCAAATGATGGGCTGTGAATACCTCATGCCGCTAATTACTGTTTATTTTTGAATTCATAAGAACTCTTCTTATTGTTAAGATGCCTTGAGATATGGGAGGGAAGGAAAACACCCACAGAGAGGAAACAAAACCGTGCAGTCCATGTCCTTCTAAGGAAAAGACGTGGCTGGTTGTTAAGATAAGACTCAGCTCTGCTCTTGGGAAAGACAGCAACGCAGCTAACTTTGTTTTACCAGGATTTGGATCTGGGGCGGGAGAGGTAAAGCACGTGGGGGAGCTTTGCAGGCACCAGGGGAGTTTGCCACTTTATAACCAGGCAGTGTTTGTGCTGTTGACACTGCGAGGTGTGAGATTTCTGCAGAACTGATGGGATTCTGGAATCCTCTGTCTGTCCAGTGTAGGAGTGAAGATCCCGTAGGCACTGGGTCTGGAAGGGGTCGAGGGTTTTGTTTTGAGAGCACCCCCCTCCCCAAAACAGCTGGGCAAGAGAAGGAAGCAGAGCCCCAAAGAACGGCATATGAAGACCCACCTGGAACTAGGAAAACTCAGCTCCTGGTGGGGGCCAGCCTTCCCACCGCATGGACTCTGTCAATGAGGTAACAACACGTCATGCAGGTCATTGTTAGGATCGTTCAGACTAACACCCCGAGGCATACGGAGACCCTACTGAATAGTGGAAGATGTCCGTGCGTCTAAAGCGTTCTATGCAGGAGGGAGCAGGTGCAGCACAGCCCCGGGAAGGACAGAGAGAAGTGGAAAGGGTGATGGTGTTTGTTTTGTTTTGTTTTGTGGGAAAGTTGCAGAAGGGGTAGGTCTCAGTGAAGGGCATGACCACGCAGCACAAGAAGTGTGAGTCAGCACATTCTTACAAAATGTGGATACACTTGAATAAAAACAGGCAATGCCAGAAGTATCCAAAATGAGCCCACAAACTCGCCATCTGATACGTTGAAAGAACAAAAAGTTTCCGCCTATGTTCAGAAAGCAAAGAGGGCAGCCTTACCTCATCTGTGGACTTAACAGCAAAGATACGTCCACATGGTAAAATGAACAACAGGAAGTATTCAGCACGCGTAGATGGTGTGTATCTGGGGACGGCACCGCCACGAACAAGACAATGCATTTGCATACTAAACAGTGGACCTTTAGGACAAGACAGGGGTTTGGTATCATTTGTTTTGAATTTTCCTGAATCCGTGGCTGCCCTCTTAGGCTAGAAGGAACTTGAGGCAAGTGATCCTGATAAGCTTGAAGTTAAAAATACGGAGACAGAGACCTTTGTGGGTGGAGGGTGTTCTGTGGTGTGAGATCCCTGAGGAGTACAGAATGAAAAAAAGAAAACAATTTAGAAGTGAAATTTAATCTGCTGAACGGACGTACACAGAGCTGGAGTTCACTGAACATCAGACATGGAGCATAAGCTGTGAAAAGTGAGGAGTTGCTGTGGGTTTGTCTGGAGACAGTGAGAAGGCTTCCGGATTTCCAGAAGAGTCACAGGAGTGTTCAAGGGATGGAGCTGTATGGCTCGGAGGGTGATGCACCCTTCAATGGATCCAGCCTTCCATGGGGGCAGACGGGGCATTTTATTGCAGACCATGAAGCCGCTATGACTGGAGGATGTGGATCTACATTGTACAATGTACTAGACAATGTTTATTAATCTCACATTTCTAACGTGTTACCACTGAGGAATATGGAGGTATCTGGATGAATGTGAATTCTCGGCAGGGGGTTCAACAATCTTTGGCCAAAAGGTTGAGATTCTAGCATATCTTTATAAAGTTGATGGACATGAGGTTCAGATCTCGGGTTAAACAGTGACACCACCCCCCTCCCCCTAAAAAGTGATACATCTTCTTGGAACCTATCAGTGGGAACTTATTTGGAAAAGCGGTCTTTGCGGATGTGATTAAGGACCTTGAAATGAGATTATCCTGGATGAAACATGTGGGCCTTAAATTCAGTGATGCATGGATGCATGTCCTTATATGAAAACGGTGGGGGGAGGGGGGAGAAACACACACAGAGGAGAAAGCGTTGGTTAGAAGGACGCAGAGATGTGAATGATGTCCCTACAAACACAGGACCAGCAGAGCTGCTGGCCACCAGCAGACACTGGGAGAGGAGAGAGGCTGAAAAAGACGTCCGTCAGAGGCTCTGGAAGGAGCCAGCCCTGCCCACACCGTGACTCTGGACTTCTGGTCTCCAGAACAATGGGACAATACATTTCTGGTGCCTTCAGTCCCCGCTCTTTGGGGCACTTTGTTCCAGCAGCCCCAGAAATCCAGCACATCAGCTTGTCTTACTTCAGATCCCTGTGAGAATTTGATGAAATGGGTTGAGCCACTTCCTGTTAAGGACAGACCCATCCTCGCAGGCACCCCCAAGCTGGCCATCAGTGTTCAGGAGTGTGCAAAATGAGTGGGGGGGGGGCGGGGGGCTGGGGGATGGTCTGCCAAGGTGTCACAACCCAGTCTGATGGTGCAGGAATATTCCAGGTTCCAGCCCACCCATGAAGCATGCACTTGTCGCAGAATGATGGCTTCAGTTGGCAGGTGCACTGTTGGTGGAAATGTAAATTCGTGCAGCCACTGTGGAAAACAGGATGGCGGCTTCTCAAAAAACTGAAAATGGAACTACCATATGACCCAGCAATTCCACTCCTGGCATATAACTAGAAAAAAAAAAAAAGGAAATGCTAGCCTGAAAATATACTCGCCTCCCCATGTTCTTGGTAGCATTATTTACAACAGCCAAGATGTGGAAGCAACCTAAATGTCCATCAACAGATGAGTGGATAAAGAAGATGTGGTGTATTTATACAGTGGAATACTACTAAGCCATGACAAAGGATGAAATCATGCCATTTGCAGCCACATGGATGGATTTGGAGCACAATATGCTAAATGAAATAGGCCACACAGAGAAAGACAAATACTGCACAATATGACATATATATGGGACCTGAAAAAATACACACGAATATAAAAAAATAGAAGCAGCTTGACGGATCTAGAGAGCAGCCTAGTGATGGCCAGTAGGGAGAGGGCAGGGGGAGGGGGTTAGGAGGTACGAACTACTACGGACAAAATAAATAAGCTACAAGGACATACTGTCCCACATGGGGCTTACAGCCAATATTTTGTAGTAACTACAAATGGACTCTAACCTTTAAAAACTGTGACTCACTGTATTGTATACCTGTAAATTCTAGAATATGCTGCAGCAACTAAACTTCAATGAACAATTAAAATTTTCAAAAACAAAAAAGCGAATAAAAGTTTCAAAACTCTGACCTCCCTTGGGAGCTACTGCTACCAATTTTCTTGCTCTCAGAGTTCTTTGTAGGACCATG